TTAACAATTTCTTCTTTCTCTATGCCGCTAAAACTACTATAGAAATAAAAACTTTTTTATATTTATAAGATACACGACCCTTTACTTGACCGAAGACCTCCTTTCCATCAATCCTAGAGGTACACCTGGTATTGGGAGACCATAAAGGAGGGGAGTTCCCAGCAAAAGATTGTTTGCTTCATGAGTACCATGATGACATTGTAGTACGCCCTTCATATCGAGTTTTTATTGGGGATGTAGCACCAGAAGTAGAATATCTTCTAAGAGATACACTCGCAGAGAACGTCTTTCGAGTTCCGGTTGGACTTACAAGTGATCTGATAAACGGTGTCATAGAGAACCTTTGACCAACATGCTTTGAGGCATCATCAGACATGTTTCCACCATCTATAAAGCCACTTAAAGAATGGTGCCTTCTACAAGAACTTGTCTCCTCTTCAGTGATATCTTTGGCCTTTGGATTCAATTGAATCATCATATGCGGTGGTTGCGGTAATGGTGGTGGTAGTAGCGGCGGCAGGAGTGGTGGTGGTAGAGGCGGCAACAATAGTCTCCAATAATCGCCGCCCAAACTCTCTCCCCCATACGCCATTGATGAGATGGAGTATGTGGAGAAGTCGGATGTCCTTTTAACGTTTGACACATGTTTGGGCCAAATTGAAATATCTTCTTTGGACTTGGGACAAACTGAAATATCTTCCTTAGGCTTGGGCCATAATAAAATCGCCTTTTCATTCAGCAACTTATTACTAGCAACCATTACCTTTTCTAAGGTTGATAATAATGGAAGCACCAGCGACAATACCGCCGGTGATGGTGAAGAGAGTGGAGACATTGGCCATATCAATGGTGGAGAGGGTAGTGGGGATGACGGCAATGGCTTGTACTGGTTGTTACCTAACCCAACCTTTTCTTGTGATATCGAGCTTTGCTTTCTGTTTGTACCCTTTTCTTCTCTTTCTCTATATTCTTTGCTTTCTCTTAATATAATTTCTTCTCCACATTATCCATTTCGATCAAACCCTGTTTTAGGTTTACAAATTGCTCCCTCGTAACAACTTTTGCGTTCGATTGAAAATGTCTTAAAGGGATACCATCATTCAACGAAAATGACCTGGAGGGGTGGATTTCATGTGTTGAAAGGTATTTCTCTCTCTACCATCTAACCAAAGTGGAGCAAATTGAATATGATTTTATTGCCTTCAAAGGGGTTGCCCAGCGAAAGTTAAAATGGGAGCACAAAAGGAGACTTTTTATATGTTGGGAGGAGCTTAAAATGATTGGACTCCAACGCCCCTTCCTCATGTTCTACCGAGTGTCGTCCTCTTGTTGACATCGCGTCTCTCTTGGCCTTTGCAATGTTTCCTCACGTAGTTTAATCAACATATCATGTTGTTTCATCATAGTTTGAACGTCTTCTTTCAAAGACCTGAAACTTCTTTTGATTTCTTCTACATGTGATGTGCTAGTTAGAATCGTTTTCCCAGAATTGATACCGCTTTGATACCAATAGATGCACACCAGGAAAATCAAAAGATCGAATTCAAAGGAAACCAAATGCTTCTCTCTAATCAGATGCTTACAAGAAGTTTTCTGGCTTTCAAGAGACCAAAATCCATCCATAAGACTCACGCCCAAAAAGGTGTTTACAAACGTGAACCTTCATGCCTCTTATTTATACTAAAACCCTCGGCAATAACTATTTGTATGACTTGCACAGTCTTTGCTTGTACAACCATCGCTAAAGAGTATAACATATCCCTTGTCCAAAAATAAGGGCCATCTTGGTAGGAGGCTGCTTGACAAAGAATCAGAGATAACTAACGTGGTTGGACAACCGCTGATGCTATGAATTTTTTACTTAAAAAAGGTTCGGGTGTTGAAACAGATGTAGTAGTACGAGCTATTCGAAGAAGTGGTATACTAGTAACTTTTGTAAGGGATGTAATTTTGATATTCTTTGTCATCTTTTTTAGAAAAAACATATTATGAACACTATTTTTGGGGTACTATCGTGCTTTATCTTTTGGGTATCATTGTGTCTCTTCTCTTGCAATGAAAAAAACGTAATGAAGAACATCATCTTCTTCATACATCTCAGTTGAAGTTAGGAGTCATTCATCTTCTCGATGAATGAAGAAATGAAGTTAGGGCCTCATATTTCATTCATTTCCTCCGACTTCTTTCCTGATTTCAACAAGACACCATCATCTTCATTTTATATCTTTTATCTTAGACCTTAAGCATTCATTTGAAGTGAAAAGAAAATCAAAGCTCAAACAAAACAACCCACAAGATGAAATTAACGCTTCATTTAGCTTCTTTTGAAACCCAGATGAATGAAGCCTAACTTCATCTTATGAATATTTTCTATTTGAATTCTGATTTTTTTAATTTAAAAAAAAGCTTCTAGAAGAAATATGAAAGATATTATAAAAACTTAAAATTAGTTAATTTATTAATTTTGCCCTCGACTCATTGTATGATTTACCTACTTTACCCATCAAGTAATGGAAGTTACTACTGGAAATAATGTCTCGCACTTGATTGTTACAAAAATACCAAACCAAACCAAAAGTACACGCCAATATGCCATATCCCACCTTGAACGTAGGGTTAGGGAGAGTATGATGTACATCGACCATACCTCTATCCCTAGGGGTAGAGGATGTTTGTATGAAAATCCCCGGCTTATGAAACCTTTTCTTTTTGAAAGGTTTAAGAAGGGACCAAAATAGATAGCCGAGCAAACAAAAGGCAAGGAAAGTTTAGAAAAGCTTGCGAGGAAGCAACATTAGACAAAGGCGTAAAAATGAAGGAGTGCACAGATGGCAAGGAAACTAGACTGTGAAACATATAAAACATTACATACAGATAGTACAATGCACAACAAACAACATACAAAGAGCCTTTGGGCTACCCACAAGTTGGAATAAAATCTTGTTATTGTTGTTAATTAATCTATTTTGCAATTCAATTATTGGTTAATGGCCAACAGCAAAAGCAATTGGAGTAGGCCGATGCTTCCCTCCCCTCCAACAAACCCAGAACCCTCTTGGTCCAAACCTAATTATAAAAAAATATTAAGAATCAGACCGATCTCAGGCCTCCCCTCCCAAAAAAACAAAAACAAAAAAGAACTCAGACCCCTCCCCTTCCAGTAGCCAACCGCATCCTTGCCTCCCTACTTGGTGCTTTGTCCGACATTCAGCATTTAACTACTAACTCCATTTGGTTTGTTTTTAAATTTTGGCAAAATCAAAACCCTAGTTAACAAGTTTAGTTGAATATTTGAATGTACATTCTTACTTGTTGTATGTTTTTGATAACTTGATGTTATCTACTTTCTTTGTTGTCCGGAAAGAAACCCACACTCTAGATTAGTTGAACAAGAATGTTGACATTCTCATAAGATTTTACCATAACATTTTATGAGTTAGTATTCTTAGTAGCGTAACCAAAACTATGAGTTTTATCTACTTCAGGATATCATCTAGCTTCTTTGTTCAAGAATTCAACATTTCAACTTCCTTTTGGGTTTGTTCTAGTTCAACTTTTACTTGAATGCTTCTTTTCTTTTCATAAAAAAAAAAATCCCCTTCCAAGCTATCTATCTTCTAGAGGGCAAGAGTAAGTTGCAACATGAGAATTTCATTGGCTTCAAACTACTTTTCATATAGGGGAGAAAAGATCCATTGATTTCTTCAATTGTTGGCTATTTATCATCATTTAATTGGCTAGGAAAAAAAAATCAAATGATTAGAGAAATTTTATGCCTCCTCCATTCTTTGTATTGGTTCCTTTGTTACTTTTGAAATAGATAGACATTCTACATTTCTTCCTTCTTACTTTTGAAGGCAACCTCCTCTTCTTTCCTTGCCTGGGTTTATTCAATAGTTTTGGTGAACTACTTAACCTTTCCTTAATAAATTTTGAAATATCTTTGCTTTTCCAAAGTAGTGACCTTAATGAAATCTTAGTAGAAGAGATCTTTAAGGTCCTTCTAACAAGATTTTATCTTGATATTGGTTGTGCTAATACAAAAGGCTCATTTGCCAAGTCCATATTATTAGAGTCGAACCAAGCAATAATTTCATCTTCTTTGATCCTCAAAACATATCAAGTTTTGAGGACATTAGTCGAACTTATGAAATTCTTACAACCGTTCACAAAGAATCACCAAAATCTGCAAAACATCCTTTGAAATGGTATGTTTTATAATTAATGTAATTTGACTAGGATCAACACTATTGAATAACATTCAACGATCTTGAATTAAGAGTTGCATTTGCATCTTCTTCAATAGTCCAATTGAATACTAGTTTGAGAACTTCTTTGTCACCTTTAGCTGATGCATCTCTGTATAAGAGTCTTCTTAACTAACCTTATACTTGAATTCATTTCACGAGCCACCCTAATGATACAAGCTTCTCTTATATACTATTTATCGTTGTTATTTTACAACAAAATAAGACCCCAAAGGCCGGAATCCCCCCCCCCCAAAAAAAAAATCTTAAATTTCTAGCTCCGCCCCTTCTATGACTGATGTAACGGATGGTGGAACTGATTTGGGATATGATTGTTCATTCAACAAACAAATGTTCAACAGAGAAACCTAAAGAATAGTGAATATCAAAAACAATTTTCAGATAATACATTTTAGAAGCAATAACTTCACATGTACAAAACAAAACAGAACAAAACCTACATTTTCCAAGCTGATATTCCAGGTCAGTTCTATTTTCAAGGAATCAATCTTGGGAAATAAAGCATAATGAACTTCACAAGAAATTATAAGGAAAACCTATGATGCTCTCGATATCATCAGCATTGTTTCAACTCCTCTTAAAATCAATGTTAGATGATGATGTTAGCAATACTACATATATAAATATTTATATGTGATGACTCATATTCATAAGTGAAAACTACAAATTTTGATTATTTAACTACTACAAATTTTAGTGAAGAACATCAGTAGGTTTCTAAAGAGTACTAACCTTTCATTTTGTCTCCAAAACCTAAAGCTACTGCAAGCTTTGCCATCTCCCTCCTACTTGCAAACTCCATCACCAACTGCCTCAAAAATTCTTCATCGAACTTCAGTTTTAATCCAAACCCAATCACCATTTGCAAGAACATTGTAGCTTCTCCTGAACCCACCCCACCACTACCTTCACCACCACCCAAAACCCCCTTCCAAACCTCCAACACCTTCGTTGCCCTCTCCTTCAAACTCGTTGCAACCCCACCACCACYAATTTGGGACGAACGCAATGGCAAACCCGCCTGTATCAATATCCCACAAGCCCACCGCCTATCTGCCATCCCTTTAACTTTTAACCCACTCAATTTCAACTCAACAAACTCCTCAACAGCATCCAACACAAACGCTAATAAATCCACAGCTTCCTCCGTCGCCGCCATTATCTCCGCCCTCACGGCCACCGACTCCTTCCTCTTTGCTAACAGAAACTTCACCAAACCTGTGGAATCCATTCTCCTAAACCAAATTCTCAACAAACCCGACGTTGTTTCGTCCTCCGGATCCAAATTATTGCCCTTTTCAATATACCTAATCCCGGAATCTTTTAGCTGTTCCACACGGGCTGCCAAAGTAACTTCCTTCTGAGGGATGTCATCCTCACGGACTCGCAGAGCTTCGAGGGTTTTCTCGGTGTGTTTCTTGAAATTCTGAATCTGGGTATCGAGAGTTTGTGATTTCTTTGTGAGGGTTTCATCTAAAGAAATGAAATTATTGATTAGTTTGTTGTGGGTCTCGGTGATGGTAGTGAGTAGGGTTCTACGAGTTTCTAATTCGTTGAAGAACTTCTTGAGACTATCTGGGTATTCGGTAGTCATTTTTCTTCGATGGAATTTGATCAGAGAAAAACCCTAAAATGAGATTTTATTGAAGGCGTTCCAACACCAAACTGCAACGATTCTTTCCTTGTAGGGTATCAGTTATCGAATTCTTGAAGATGAAGCTGTTGGATGTATGTATATATATATTGTAATTAGCCTATAGTTTATCTTGATTATCACTAGATTAGCAATAACATTAACAACTAGTGTTATACCCGTCCCTTGGTCGGATAAACGACATGATTTAAACAGATCCTAAATGGCCTCGAAACAAACCTCAAACAAAACGACGATTTATCAACCTAGTATATGTGAAATGTTTTATTCTAACTCGATTGGCACCCCAAGTAATCCTCCTACTATCTCACAATGTACCTTTATCGAATCCCTCAAGACGGAGACGAAATGAATGATCAAAATCAGTTTCTAAACATATTCTAAACGTCCTTAAACAACCCCAAAAATGCTCTGAAACAAGCCCCAATCAGCCCCTATAAACCTGTACTCGATAACAACATTCTATAGTTGTTTTGGGGTCGAGTACTAGACAAACAACCCCAATAACTATTGTTTTTTAGAGCAATAACACTATTAAAAAAGATCCACATACAAATCAATTGAATTTCAATTAAAACGGAGACCATGAATCCTTAGTGCTACCCATCAATAACAACATCCACATTAGAACACCAATATTACAATTGAAGATCAAAACATAATGATATAGTTATTAAAACCCGTATCATATCCTTAACACACACAAAAAACGCTAAAAGTTAATTAAAGTGTTAGGCCCTGTTTGTTTTTCTAAAAAATCACTTAATTGCCTCTTAAGTCTGACCGATTCAGACCTAGAGGAATTAAGTGCGTTTGTTTTTTTTATAAATTAAGTGCTGAAAATGTCTCATTTTGTCTGAATCGGTTAGATGTAAATTTAACTCTGAAAACCTCTTAATTTGATTCCCCTTCCTCGTCGCTCTAACCTCTCCATCGCCGCCTGCACTCTCAAGCCCCGATTTCTCCATCGTTGTTGCTGGAATCATTCATCTCTCGATCGGTCTCCACTCGCTCATCTCCAGTCGGTCTCCATCGCCGCCTGCACTCTCAAGCCCTCGATTTCTCCAGTCGGTCGCTCATCTCC